AGATGGATTTTTAAAATGCTACTTTATATTTACATTTCGGCGTGCACACTATTCCGATATCCATAGGCTGAATGATGGATGTACAGTATGCAGGAAAGAATAACACGAATACATTATCTTTCATTAAAACTATGAGTGAAATATGAGCTGAACAGTTATCCACAATCGGAAGTTTTTTTGTCATCAGGGACAATTGGGACAATTTTTGTGTCATCAACCTAATTCAAATTTTGCCGAACCTTAGGTATGAAATAATTTTCAAACCAATCGCACATTAACACTTGTGTCATCTGTGCTGTTTTATTTGCATCATATATAATGGGAAAATCTTTACTCCTTTAAATGCTCAAGGCCGTGTATTTTTTCCCAACTATGAAAAGTTCTTGCACTTGTGCATTCCTGCAGCATTTGAACATGCTAAAATTGTTAGTCTCACTTTGGAATCTTTGACACCAGTTGGAGCCTTTTCTGTAGAAGTTGCCAAAGTATTTTGCTGTACATATTGCCAAAAAGACCAGTTTCATCAGCTTTGTAAATTTGTCCTGGAGATACTATTTCACTATTAGTGAGTTCAATGAATTCATCTGCAAATAGTTCAGCAGCTTCAGTATCAGCTGAAGCTTTTTCACCTGAAATTTTTAATCGCATTATATAGTGGCGATTTTAAAATTTGGTTAGCCAATCTGTTGAATATGTGTACTCAGTTTTTAAGTTCATTTTTTCATGAAATATATTGTTTTGAGCTATTTGCATTGGACCCGTCGGTGGCCCGCTCTCACTGCATCTCTGTCTGACCATTCAATCACCACTTTGTCATGATCCTCACTTTTAGCATAGCGAATAATTTTTCTGTTATTCATTGTGAGTGCAATGCCGGAATCCAGAAAAAATTCATAGTTCTTTTTTCTGTTATATCATATACAGTTTACTTTCCAATGCTATACTCCTTGCAGAATTTTGAGACAGGTATACCTATATCCATTTTTTTGCAGCAATTCTACTTTTTGTTTAATGAACATCGAAACATGCTTCTACTTTGTAGATCCTGTTGCAGCTCCAGACTTAGAAACTCTTTTTGACATAATCAAAAGTTCAAACTTTAATTTTCATAAAATTTCTGTAGTTATAAGAGCCTGCAGAAAATAATAAACTGGATCAAATCATAAAGTTAAGGAGCAGCCCAATCTGCTATATTAACTGAAATTCTTTGAAATCAGTGAAGTATAATTTTAGCCTAGCTTAACAGCGTCCACTATATATTATTGGCTATGTAGCGTGACATTGACGATGAAAGACAAAATGTTCCATTAAATTTTGTCTTTCTATTGTGCACTGAGACAATTAAGCCTGAATTGTATTAATTTCGTTATTTATTATACTTATGTCTAATTCTTGCACATGCTTAAGGCTTCTCTGAGTCCTGAATAAATAAATTCACACATATACTTGAGCTTACTGAGGGCTGGCACTAGATATTTTGTCACCTGATGCAGTCTCTGTGGGTCCTAAATTCTTCTGTCAAGCGCCTCCCTAAGTTCTGAATTTTTGCACCCTAAGTTTTGGGTCCCAGTGCTTTCCCTAAATTCTAAAAATTTTATCATCCCTTAATTTTGTTACTCAGTGGTTCTCTAAACTCCAAAAGTTTTGTCTTACCTAAATTCTGGCGTTGGTTCGGGATTTATGCTAGTAAAAAATCAGTTATTCCTAGTTTAAATAGCACTAAATTCATTCTTTTGGCACATGAATATCATTAACAGAATCTGTTTTTAGCATATAGAAAGAAAGTTTTGTTAATTTTTTCCTCGTCAATATTTAGTGCATTTAACTTAAATCTGTAATCATGGCCAAGCGTAATGTCAACATAAAAGGTTTCCATACTCTTTGTGATTCTAGGTATCACTGTGTGAGTCATTACTCAAGTTGTCATGAGTTGATAAACATATGGTGATGAAAACAAAATATAATAAATAATGATTCGCCAGGTTTGCATCGGGGATATAAAATATTAATAGCTGTAAAATCAACATGTTTCTATGTAGAATGTTTCAGTTTGAGATGTATGCTAAGCAGATACATAGCTACAGAGCAAAATTATTGATCACACAAATTTATGCTAAAATGATTTTTTCTTTAATAATGAGGTATTTTACTTAATGCCAAAGTAAAATTAAGAATCAGGATTCTCCACGTTTTTGGAAAAAAATCAAATGCGCATGTGTAAAGCATAAAAAAAAAATCCTAAAAACATTTTTTGGTGGTGGCTTTAAGGTCTGAATTTCAGATCATTCCGGATTTTGGACTTAATCCTGTAAATATATATTGTGAACACAAAAATCCTTGTCTGACCTTTACTTTTGTACATTCATTTCCAGTTAGAAAAATGTTTTAAAAAATAGAAATATTTATGTTCTGGCATTTTTAAACTAAACAAAAGAAATTATAAACATTATGAAATTTAACAATTCATACATTCTCCTAGTCATTATATTTGCAGTTAGAAAACTGTTATACTCATGGTAAATAAAATATAAAATAGAAAAGTTGACTGAGATATTTAGACTTAAAAGTTTCCGACAGTTTTTCTTGAGAACTCGGGAGTTGTATACGAATTGCAGAGAATAATATTTAAATTTGAATGTAACTGAAATAAAATATCAGTTAAAGAAAAGGCCTCTGATGTTAATGGATTAAGTGCTGCATACTTATATCCAGACAGTAATAAAAAATTTTGATCACTACAAAACTTTTAAATATTTTTAGCACAGAATGCAAATAGCAAGAGTCCATTTGCAAAACAGTTCTCTAAATGAAAAAATCAATCTGCATATTCATTTGAACAGAAAGAAAAATTAAAGATGGAATGGTATTTTTTCAATAATCAGAAACCAAAGTGTATGTAGTATTTCAGAAGTTGATGGAAAAACCTCTTATAGAAAACAGCAGCAGCAGTAACAACAGCAATAAAAAATCAGCCTTACAAGTAACCTATGTTTGGTAGTACATAATAAAAAATATGAAAACAAATAACTAATTCATGAAAATGAAACATACAGTTAATTGAAATTAAAAACAGCTATAAATAGAAAGCCATAAAAAAAATGAGAAATTCTAAGGCAAAACACAGGTTTCATTAATTGAATGAATTCAGTGTAATATTTGTTCAAAATATCTACCTACATCTACTGCATATAATTGTGTTCAAGTATTGTTGAACTCTATTAATATAATTTATGTAATTGGTATTACACGTGTACTCATGCCTAATATATTATTGAGCAGGTCTATATGATTTGTTGATTTTGTTTCATACACTCTGCTTTTTGAAACCCCAGAAAAAAATGTGCTGTGTTAAAGTCAGCTGATCATAGCATTCCACAGTATTCAATAATGTAATAATGTTAGTTTTAAATGTGTACTTTACAAAAACTTGTTTGGTCCTGCAGACATGTGCTGGAGCACCATTATGATGAAACTACACAGATGACATAAGTGAGACATTATCATCTAAGAAGTTGGTCCATTTAATATTTGAAATTTTATTTATGTGCACTTCTCGCCAGTTAAGATACCATAAAAAGAAGAATGCTCCAGTCATCATTCCATAATTCATACCGAACAATTACTAATTATAAAAATCATAAATGAAAAAATGTTATAGATTAGTAAATCACAAAAGAATATCATTGAATGACATTAAATGGAAGTAATTCAATTTATTTTAATTTTTTCTTTTATTAACTTACTCATCAAGGAGGGCATTAAATTCAGTTTTTTGGAATTGTAAAGTCTTTACAAATCACAGACTTTATATACATTGAGCAATTTGTGAAAGTCAAACATTTTGTACTTTATATTTTAAACTGATTATAATATTTTCTTAAGTATAAATGTAAGAGCTGGAATAACGTACTATAAAAAAGTTAGATTTCATAATTCTTACAAAATTTATTTTTTAAAATTCTAAAGCATAAATATTTGCATCATTTAAAACATTTTTTTTAATTGAATGTATCTGCTTGTGGCTAATGGTTGCGAAAATAATGGCCTAGTAAAAACTTTCGTGGATGTAGTGTATTTAAACTTAAGCCATTAAAATTGCTAAGCTATGAAGATATCATGCAACAGACATCAAATTTACATGGAATTTGCACATGTTGGGACATGCAGTTAATTAGAATTTTAGTGCAAATGTACAAAGCAGGCATGAGTAATGCCATCTATATTGTGTATAAATGGCAAGATTGTAGAGTGGGTTTTCTCATTTGAATGTTGGTTTCCTCATGTAATAAGAAGAAATTTCTACCAATATGTGTCAGAATTTGATCATGACAGGATCGTGATCCCAAGTCAAGCAATTATGGAATCAGGGAGTCAACGAGGGCCAACCAGTCCATCCATCATCTTTTCATTACTTTTTCAGATGTTTCCTGATTTTGCACATTACCATCTTTTCAGATGACTCCTGGTTTTGCATATCATCATAATGGATGTATCAATCTGTGGAAGCACCAAGGAGAATGAATGTTGCCAGCTTTCATTTATCATAATCATACAGACCCAGCACTTGGCATACTGGTATGGGGTACCACTGGATACAATTCCCAAGTCAACCGAAGATGATTCACTTGAACATACAATCCCAGAGAACAATTCATAAATCTATGAAATCACTTTGAAAGGTAGAAAATTGTAGCCTGAGAATTAACTAAAATGTTTACTGGCATATGTTAGCCAATTTCTATCAAATAACATAGAAAAGATTGCTGAAACTCTGGTTTGATTATGTATATTAGTGCGAAGATAAAAATTATGATGTTTCAATTCATGAAAAATATGGAAATAATAAAAATAAAATGTAATTTGTGTCAGCCTGTAAAATTAATGTTCCAAATTAATTTTTAAAAAATTCGTGTATTTTATTTGAATTTTATTCATTTTCTTTTGACACAAGAAAATCTATAATTCTAATATATATTGTTAATTATAATTTTTCTTTTCAGTATCCCATAATGTACAGTGATAGTAATAATGTTTTCAACTGTATTCAGCGTGCACATGGAAATTTGTAAGCATAACATTACATTCTGCAATATTTTATTCTAATTATTCTGTGTATTTTTTATTTACAATTCCTTTCAATTTTAGCCTTGAAAATTATCCTCAGTTTTTGTTTTTACTGGTGACCGGTGGCTTATCATATCCAGTAAGTAATTAATATGTCTATCAATTTATAATTTATTTGTTTATTTTTCAAATGTCTTAGTATTTGTGTTCTAATTGTTGATTATAAATGTCTACAGAAATTAAGTGCTGGTGCTGGAATTGTTTACCTGTTAGGAAGAATTGTTTATGCACTTGGCTATTCAACTGGAGGTAAGCTGTAATTTTAAAACAGTGCAATTTATTTCTGTCTTTGCTGTTATTATTAACTCCAACATAATATCTGCAATAAACAAATTTATCAATAATTATTTTAACATAACAAAACCACTGAAAATAAAATGCAGAATTATTCAGCAGATTAAAATTATGGTAGTTTTATTCATGTTTGTTTATACAGAAGAAAAGTAGGCATTGATATAAATTAGAATAGCTGTAAAAAGCAATTTTTGCAAAACTTGGCATTTATACATAACTAGGTGTGAAATTAATCTGTGGAGGAGAAACAGGCATTTCTTTAAAAAAACATTTACTTATGAAATAATATATATATTTAACTTAGCTTTCTATATATATGAATGCACACATACCTATTAAATAAAAAATATAAAAATAAATGATATGAAGCAGATATTTTTATTTTGAAAGTACAGTGTCTCAAAAAAGTGATGGGACACTTGTGCTTTACAAAAGGAAACTGCAATAAAATAAATTTTTTAAAAAAATGTAAAATTTTTTGTGGGTGTGTTTCATACTTAAATTTAGTAACAATTATTACATAACATACCCACCCCCCCCCCCCCCCCCCCCCCCCCCCCCCCCCCCCCCCCCCCCCTTTTCTCAAAATAAAATATAAAGTATTAATTTAATAAAAAAAGACAATTGTTTAGAACGGAGCAGAAAATGGCTCACTAAGTGATGGGGACATTACGTACTATGCAACAAAAATCGTCTGATGTAAGCAATAAAATATCTTTTTGGGGTATTTATTTTACTCAAAAGCAATTGCCAATAATTATAAAAAATCGTCTGCAGTATTTCTGTCCAGTTTGTTTTGGAATTTTTGTGTTTTTTAGCTCTGTGCAGCCATGAATGCTCAACGAAAAGAAACTTTGCCTGGAATTCGAAAATTAGTTATTAATTTGCATATTGAACGTGGAAAATCTATTAGAGAAACGACTGAAACAGTTTAACTTCAGTCATTCAACAGTTTTCAATATCATTAACGAATATAAAAAGAATCATATGATTCAGAATAAAAGAAGACCTGGCCGACCATCAAAGCTATCCGATGGAATAAACGAATTATCGTTCGAAATATTTTTAAAAAATCCAAGAATGAGTGCTCCTAAAGTTGCTGCTGATTTACAAGCATTATATGGAGTAATTGTTAATTCTGAGACTATTAGAAGAGTAAATTCGATCTACTGGATATCACGGTAGAGCAGCAGGAAAAAATTCTTCGTAAGTGAAATAATAGAAAACTCAACTGCTTTCTTCACAAAATCCAACATAAATAAGAATTCTGATTACTGGAATGAAGTTATATTTGCTGATGAGAGTAAATTTAATATATTTGGTTCTGACGGTAGAATCTTGGTGTGAAGAAAAACACCCAGGGAAGAATTTCGCAAAACAGAACTGGTGCCAACGGTAAACATGGTGGAGGAGGAGTTATGGTATGGGGGTGTATGTCATCCGCTGGAGTTGGTAATCTTGTTTTTATTGACAGTATAATGGATCAGTACATGTATATTGACATTTTAAATCAAAATTTGAAATCTCAGCACGAAAATTGAACCTTCATAACGATTTTAAATTCTACCAGGACAATGACCCCAAGCACAGTGCTTTGAACGTTAGACTCTGGCTGCTGTATAACCTGTCCTGAAATAATAAAAAACCCCCACACATCTCCACACGATTAATCCATAGAGAATATTTGGCAAGAATTGGAATCAAGAATTCGCAAAAAACACCATTTCTTCAAAACAACAATTAAAATTCGTGCTTCAAGAAGAAATGGGGTAAAATCACTCCAGAAATCACAAAAAAATAGTGTCGAATCTATCCCAAGAAGATTAAATCATGTTTTAAAAGTAAAAGGAAATCCAACACAAATATTAAAACCTTTAAAAAGTAAAATTTTGGATAAATATTTGATGGAAAATGTAAGTGTCCCATCACTTAAGTGAGCCATTTCTGCTCCGTTTCTAAACAATTGTGTTTTTATTAAATTAATATTTTAATATTTTGAGAAAATGTATGTTATGTAATAATTGGTACTAAATTTAAGTGTAAAACACACCCACAAAAAATTTTACATTTTTTTAAAAATTTATTTTATTGCAGTTTCCTTTTGTAAAGCACAAGTGTCCCATCACTTTTTTGAGACACTATATATATCTTGGACTGTTATGCCGTGTAAAATTCCATAGCAGTGAAGCACTTGGAATAGACAAGTTTTTGTGCGCCTTCGTTACACACATCTGCCACCAGTCCATTAAGAAATGCTGGAACTCTTTATTTATTGTTTGCTAGAACTATTCATTCTCAGCAAAGCATTTTCCTTAAAATTTCTGATAACGTGATTATAACTGAAGCTGATGAGGGCTGTAAGCAGGTAGCTTTTACATTTTTACTGAAAGTTTTGAAGCATCTTTTGAGTATATGCAGCTGTGGAAGATGATCACTTCATCAACCAAAAGGCCTCTAATGAAATCTGCTCCCCAACACATGTTTATTGTATTTCTTATCAGAAAGGAATTTCTGTAGTTTGATGAAAGAATAAAAATGGGGATGATGCCATGCCAAGGATTATCATTTGCATTCAAGCATAAAACCAAGGTTCATCTGCATAAAACCTTTCATTTCCATATATAAAAAATATCAATGTAATTCCTATATATTCTTTTTCTATATTCCTTTTTAAGTATACATAGTACCCATTTGGCATAAACCTTTCCATAGTTGAAGTAAATGGATAATAGTGTCATTCATAATTGATCTTGGCAGATACATTTATCAGTGGTAATATAGTATGCGATTGCATTGCATGACTTCACCTACATTATTAGTAACTCATCCATAATGATGGGCAGATGGTCAAGACATTCATTATGTTGTACATTGCATCTTCCAATTTCAACGTTGACTCAGCCATCATGTCAACATCATTGCAGTGCATGACTTTACCTACATTATATAGCAATTCATTCATAGTGATGAGTAGATGGTCAAGACATTCATTATGATGTATACCAGCTCTTTTAATCCCAAATATACAGTGTAATAATTTCAACATTGATTCAACTATCATGTCAACATCATAAACTCTTAAGGGTACTTGCTGGTTATCTGATACCTGTCAGTACACTGCAAATAATCTATTGGTGTCCTTTGATAGTGGAATCTGATTTTTTGATTTCTGGTGGATTTTGTTTGATGGTCACAGTCAAAATGGCATCAAACACATTATTAATTTTTTGCAACTTCTCTGCCTTCATATGAACTCTGGTAAGTGCGAAGTGGTGACGTGAAGCGACATGTTGCCACTTAGTCCTCCATTTTTGCTGATTCTTATGCATTCCTGCTGTCCTTTAACAGGAGAAAAATATTGTCAAGAAAGAAAAAAGAAATGAAAATCTTATTTATATAGAAGAATCTAGAGTGACTTTAAAGATTGCCAAACATATACAAGAATTAGACATGGGTGATATTTTTGGTGATGTATCAGTGGATGCCAGATAACCAGCAAATACCGTGTTAAGATCTCCCAATCAATTTCACACTGCCTGGTGTTTAACATGCAAAAATCAAACAACAACTTTTGCTTTGAAAGATCTCAGTTATGCAGTTTGCTTCAGTTATTGTACATTTAGATAAACCTCAGAATGTATGACAAAATTTACTGCATTATTAATTAAAAGCCAGTTTTATCTAAAAAGTTTATCATAAAGACTCCTTAGTAAATATCCTTCATTTTTTTGGTCATAATTAAGTAACTAGCCGGCAGTTTGCTTCCACAAGAAAAGTATACTCACTGTACTCTAGAACTCTATAAGTATTGAGATATCAATTATACATATTGCTTGTTCTTTTGAAATGATTTAACACTTTATTGAAATTTCTTGTATGGGACTGGTATAACATCTAATTGTACACCTCATTTTTTATTGCAAACAGCAGAACCATATATATATATATATAATTTATTTCCTAAACAATATTGATTAATTGATTATATTATCTCCTAAGTTTAATTAAAGTAGAAGTATTTTAAAAGAGTGAATCCATACTGGTAAGTTGTATTTTGAAAGATGTATTGAAGTAATTTGAAAGCAAAATGTTAATAATGTTTTAACGGGGACTGGAGTTAAATCATCATGAAGAATAAAATTTCAATTGTAAAAGAAAAATTAAAAACATGTAATCATTGTCATTGATCGGAAATTAGTTGACTTTTCAAGGGGAACAAACCAACTCCCGTTCAATGAACAATAATTGATAAAAATACATAAATACAAAGGTGTTTCGTCTTTACTCGAGTTATAAGTTAAAGCCAAACCGGCAATTCTAGTCAGCCAAATATTTCCGTGAATAGAAGAGATTATGAACCAATGCTGATACTCAAAGAACTTATTCTTATGAAGCATTTTAGTCAATTCAATTTGGAGTAAAAAGCAATTTCTGTAGAGAAATCTGAAATAACTCGAGTAACCGTCCCCGACACCTTCCTGTTTATGCATTTGAGTTCTATATTATATGTAAATGTATTGTATATTATATGTATTGTATTGTATATTATATGTATTATATGTATATGTATATTATATGTATTGGAAATTGTCATTATGAAATCGAATTCAAAGTAAAGTTGAAATAAACATAGAAGATTACAAAATAAGATAAATAATGCAAACTTTGTAAAAACAAATCAAAGACAATATAAAAATAATATATAAGAAGAACAGTGAATGTACATGAAGATATAAAGGCCAGAAAAGGTATTAAGTAACTTACATTCTTTCTAGTGGGGGAGTTGGCAAAGTGTTTTTTTCATGTCTGACTCATAAGTGTAGGGTGTCCAAAAATTCTTAGCAGCTGTGGGGGCTTTGAATAATATCAGTAAGACTTGGGTGAAGTAATTTATGGTAGTGGGTGGGACTCGGGAATTCTTGAGGGATGTATTATGTGGAGTTCTTATTTGAGTG